CTTTCCCTTTCCCTCCAAACTATGGTTTATAATTCTGTCTTAATAAAAGCAGAGATTTTTAAATAATATTTACTCATGATGAACCAGATGCACTGCTGGGTGTGACCTCTTGCTAGGGAATTAAGGACTGGATAGAGGAAAGCCAGCTAGACTATATCTGAATCAAGCTTGACAAGAATGATCCAGAACAATGATAACACTGTTTAATGTTTATTAAAGATTAATTGTCCTCTAAGCTTTCAGCCTTGGTGTTTAGTCATGCCGGCCACATGACCACGGAAACGTCTTCGGACAGCGCTGGCTCTTCGGCTTTGAAACGGAGATGAGCACTGCAACCCTAGAGTTGGATTAGACTGGCTTTTGAGCAAGGGAACCTTTACCTTTATTTTTTAAGCTTTCTTCTAGAAGGGAAAGCAGCATGGTATAGCACAATGTCCTCAGATCTTGGAAGCTAAGCGAGGTCAGTGCTTGGATGGGAGATGGGAGCCCACCAAGGAAGGCTCTGCAGAGGAAGGTGGTGGCAAACCACCTCTGCTTCTCACTTGCCTTGAAAGCCCCTCGCTGGGGTCACCATAAGCCAATTGTGAATTGACAGCACTTGTACACAATGTAAGCCCCCCACACTAACTGACATGAGGCTCTTAAATAAACACCACAATATTAAACGTACCCATATAAAAAGGTACCACTCATGCTATCAAATCAATTCAAATGTTTTTAGGAATCATGTACTAGAAGGTTGAAAAACTAAAACCACTGTGGAAAATTTTTGTGTCTGCTGGTTAGCCATGTTGGTTTCCAGTAGAAAAGCTAAATTTGAAGAAGAAGAGGAGGAGGAGGAGGAGGAGTTCGATTTATACCCCTTCCCTTCACTCAGAGTGGCTTACAATCTCCTTCCTCTCCCCACAACAGACATCCTGTGAGGTAGGTGGGGCTGAGAGAGCTCTGAGAGAACTGCTTTTGAGAGAACAGCTCTGAGAGAACTGTTGCTGACCCAAGGTCGCCCTGCTGGCTGCATGTGGAGGAGTGGGGAATCAAACCTGATTCTCCAGATTACAGTCCGCCACTCTTAATCACTGTACCAAACTGGATCTTGAGTCCCATAGTGTAACATTTCAGCATAACTTAAACTGGACAACACAGAGAACCAGATCAATTTCCCAGGTGAAGCAATCTATCTCCCAACTTACAATTTTTGTCCTTATTAATGGAAACGAATACATCCCTTCAGCAATAAAAATTTACAAAACTAAAGTGCTTCCTCAAGTACTCTTTGGTCGTCCGGTATGGATAAGTACACTTAATAATGAGTTTGAGCACACTCAAGCAATTTTTTTTTGCCAACTCTTAGGTGTCCCTAGATGTGTGCCACACTCAGCACTATTTCTAGAATTGGGCCAACATCTCATTCAATCAAAAGGCTGACCATTAACTTTCAAACACTGGCTCAAGATTCATTTTAGAGCCTCTCCAAAGTCTCTAATCTCACGCTTAAAAAATGATATACACAGTCCCTGCTGGTTTCTAAAAATAGAGGGGGAAATTCACCAAATAGGCTTTTCAACTGAATATTTTCTCCAAATGGACGAAACCTTGATTTTTCAATCTATCAGACAAAGACTATTTGACTTAGAATTGCATAACTTTTGCCCTGTACACCCACACATTTATTCACAAACTCATCTTAACCTCTCAATCCAACATGGCCAAATGGCCCATTATTTACAGTATCTCAGCCTTCCTTCCCATCCTAGAGCCTTTACACTGGCTCGGCTGAATGTCTTTCGCTCAAACATGTTGTGAGGTCGATTTAACAACATCCCCACTCAAGAAAGACACTGCAAAAGTTCCAGTATGGCCCCAGATTCAATTTTCCATATTTTTCTGGACTGCCAACTGCACACATCCTCATGTATGAAATTTTTACCGCTTCAGCCATGCTTATTTTCTAATAAATTTATTTATTTATTTATTTATTTATGCTTTCAATTTAATACCCCGCTCTAATCCCATAGTTGGGGTCTCTGAGCGGCTTACAAGTTGCTTGGTACTAATCACCATTTCTGTCCCTAACTACGGGCACACAATGTATAGGGGAGAGGGATCTCCTACCAGCACCCCCTCTGTGGTGGTCATGATGTTCTCTCTGTCGGCGGTTCGGCTTGGTCAGGCGAGACTCGGGACCCGGCGGAAGCATCTTTATCTCCGGCGCTCGGTGGTGGTGCGCTCCTCCAGACGCGCGACTTCGCCTGCTTCCGGCCCAGCTCTGTCCTTTCCG